GGATGGAGCCAATGGCGACCTAGTGTCGTATGTCTATCTGCCTGTACGTACGTATGTTCCGAACAGAAATTCTTATTTCTGAACCGATTTGGACCAAACTTGGCACACATGCACTTCGGGTGCCGGAGGGAGTGGGGTCGTAATATACAGTTCGTTATCGATCAATATGGATTTTATCGATTTTTACAAAGTTTGAGCTACAGGGCTGAGAGATGGCACAGGGAGGTAAGTGAGCATTGCTGACGAGAATATTATTGACAAGGCCGGGCGAAATAGGGTTTGCCAGCTGGTAAATAAATGAATAACTGATAGTCTCCTAGTTGGCAGCCATCAGGCATACTCTGCCAGGGATCAAAAGGAACTGCGCATTGCCATTCTTCCCTTCATCCAGGTTTCTCTTGGATCCAGGTGCAACACTCTCGATATCAGCAGCTAAAGGGTCGGGCATACTTCACGCGATTTCACTCGCGACGCGATTTGGCAATATTCTAACTCTCCATAACTCATTGTAAACACATTTTGAATGTACAAAAGATAAGGCTTTTTATCAATTCATGTAAGTTGTATACACTGCGCACGTGCAATTTGCTAGTGTTGGATCTGAAGACTTCTGGCGAATTGCCAAATCGCGTCGCGAGTGAGATCGCGTGGAGTATGCCCGGCCCTTTACACTAAAGTAAAGCCATCCGCTTTAGCGCTAACAACGGAGTTTACGGAGTTGCGCATAAGTAGGGACAAAGAAGCGGAATATGTTGCGGTCTCGCACAATATAAAAGCTGACGAAACCTGCCTGTTTGCAAAGGCTTGGGGTTCAACCTGAAGTATGGTCGATCCGGTCACTAACAGGCAAATTCGTGCGAAGCTGCTTCTAACGATAAGTCATTTTTTTACCTTCGATCTAATCGGATCACTCAAAACTTCGGATGATGCACGTCCGCTATCCTTCAACTCTGCAAAACATGGCAAAGTGTGAGAAGACTCAAGTCACTCTCTCTGATCCCGCAGCACTACTACTTCGCGCCAGTGGCGTACCCAGGATTTCGGCTCGGGGGGGGGGGGGGCGCGACAAAAAAAATTTTCTAATCAAGGTGCGTGGCGTTAGCCACGCACTCCGAAAATTTTTCTGGGGTGCTTATCAAAATTTTTGCGGGTCCCCGACCCCTAAAATCCGGAAAAAGGGGGCGTGGCTGACGCCACGCCCCCGGAAAAAAATTTTTTACAAGGCTAATTTGAATTTTTAAAAATTTTTAAAAATTATTTTAATTATTTACAAAAATAAACAAGTCACTTGCACATTTTTATAACCCATATAAGTAGCTTTCAAAAATTTCGCGACCCATTCTCGGGGGGGGCGCGCGCCCCCCCCCGCCCCCCCCCCTCGGTACGCCACTGCTTCGCGCGTACAAGCAACGCACATCCCTTACCCAGCATGCGCGCAAAGTATGCCAATATTTTGACTGACCCCGATTGAAAAAGGTTGTGTCGAGACAGTGCTTCTCTTTCCTGTGCCAGAACGGCATTGCTCGTTATTGTTGTGTTTCAGGTATGACTAATACATTTTTGTCAATGTTTTAGAACGCCTAGAGCGTATACAATTAAATGAAATAAAATGAAACTAAAGCCGGGAACGAGGATTTTGAGTTTTGATTAACTAAACCTGCTTTCAAGCGCTTTCCGAAAGATTGTAAAGCCAACGAAAGCATTTTTGAGGATAGTACAGGCCTCACTCTCTCTCTCCCAAATTCAATTCGATTGAATGAAGAAAACCTCAGGATTTCTTTCATCAGTTTTCCTTGATAATCTTGATTATGTCCTGCCGCCAGGTTGTTATGTTTAGATTATATGCTTTGTTACCTGACGTCGGCACGGCACAATATAATAATTGCAATTATTCACTACCAAGTACACGAGTCCATAATCTCTTCGAATATTTTAGTAGATAAGTCGAGCTATACGTCTTTATCTACTCAAGGATGTGTGCGCATACTGGGCATACTTTCCACCATGAAACTGATGAAAGAAACCCTGAGTAAGGCACTACCCTTCTGGGAGGTGAATGAATCTTGCGCGGTGCCGCTTTGGGCACTACCTTAGTTGGAGCCCCCAGTTCATCACATTAGTTCAAGTGCCTTTGCCCAGAACTGCCTAACACTGCCTGAGATACCTAACGTTGACTTGACTTATGTGATAAAATAGATCTGGAGTTTGGAATTAATCAAAGAAGATATAGCAACCCGACACTACATCTAATTTTGTAACTTTAGTTCGCATTCACCAACCTAACTTTATATTTTATGGACCAGATATTTTGGGGGTAAGGCATAAAAAGCTATGATACAGAATTGCCTTCTGGCATCGACAATGTGCAACAAATCGTAAGAACCAAAGAATCGTTCAATGTAAAAGATAAGAAGCATTTTTGGCAAAAATTAGCATATGCTTGGACATCGCATGAAGAAGAGAATTCATAGTCACTGTAGACAAACGGTGCGAGATCTACGATGACCTCATACGCAAGGCAAGATATCTTTAGAAGAGAAGAAATTTGTCAACTTTCATCTAAGCGTGCTGAACGACTGCGACTGATCCTCTGAACAAACCATTACACACTTCTCAAAGCTCAGAAAGAAAACTTTGCGACACTGAGCCAAACAGATGCCATATTTCAAGGGAATCTTGAGCTGATAATGTGCAATTCAAATATGTTAAGGTTTACTCAGATAAGCTGACTAAAAAGAGTGTTTCATCCTTTTTTTTTTGTTTTTATCTTTGACCTTTTTGACAGAAAAAATGCTAAAAGTGCTGCTAAAGCTCAGAAGCTCACTGGCTGTTGCAGTATTTAGGTCAATTAGAAAATAATATTGCTTCTTAGCTTCAGCAAGTGACAGGCTCAGTCACAAATAATATCGGCGGCGAATGACTATCCTACAACTATCCAAAGTTTTTGTCACACACTCTCTCTCCTCTGTTATTATCACCCGGCTTTGCAGACAGTTTTAAAATATGCTAGCTATTCACTGCCATACTTTGGACTTGGAATGGATTAGAAACACTTAATGACGAGAGGGAGAAAAGTTTTAGTGTGCCATCCAAAGCAAAAAGCACAATAGAGTATCTGTAGCTGAAATGTTCCGCAAAATATCCAAAGATCAATGACTGGAGGATGACAAAATACATTGACATTCAGATGGGATAGTTTAGCTCCGCAGGCAGAAGCCAAAAAGATCAGACGTGTTATATCATTTCAAATAAGTGACGACTTCATGAATGCTTGACCAAAGAAAAGATCGCAATTCGCAAATGGCTCGGATGAGGACAGAAAGCGATAGTGCATAAGTGGGCTCTTCTACAACGGGGTTCCAAAAATATCATGCACAGGAACTATTGAACTTGGTTAACTAATCTGAGCTTAGTCAAAATGTCACGCGAGGCAGGAAACCAGTCAGTCGAGTTGAGAATACAAAAATCATTTGAACAAGTTCGAATCTAGGCAAATGACCAGTGCACTCTCCCCCAAAAGAGTGCATATTGTGGCTCTGATAGAGAATATAAAGATGAGCAAGTGAATAGTGCATAAGACACTACTTTACCAGGAAGTAATGTTTTTGAAAGAAAAAACCTCCGGTCGGAAACAAAAAAAAAGAGTTTTCTGACGATGACTATATGACTCATGTAGACGAATGTAACACTGACAAAAAATATTCTCATGAGTTTCAAAAAAAGGAAAAGATATGTTGCTGGAAACAGTTAATAAATCATACGTTCACAAGTTTAAACGTTTGAAGGCAAAAAGGTTTTTCAGCAGATAAAATTCATTTTGAACATAAACAAATTTCAGAGTTCAGCACAATCCGTACGATGAGCATTACATAGTTCCCCATGAGAAAAACAATATAATTGAGCTCAGCGAGGATGGGCAGATAACAGAAACTACGGAAAGCTGCTCCAATCGAAGAAACTATTAGTCGAAACTTTGAGCAGACTATTAGTCGAAACTTTGAACAGACAATCGGCTGCACAGAATAATAGTCGTGCGCGCCGCAGCGATTAGTGGTGAAACACGGCTGCAAGAGACAGCGAAAGTGCGATCAGTACACCTAAAAGAAGGAGAAAGCTAAAGATAACATAGGCTGATAGGAACGAAATAAGAGCGAATGGCGGAAATGGTAGAATTTATGCGAATGACGCGCGAAGCATGACAAGTCGGCCGAAACACCAGGGGTGTGTTATTTGCAATCGATCGCATTTTGTATCGTACAGAGCGCTGGACCGGCAAGGTGTTATACTCCCACCGCTACCCCAATGTCGAACCAACCGGAACAGAAACTCTGTACTTTACTCGAAGCATGATTCCACCGTGAAGAGAAGATGGAGTGGTATAAAAAGATGTTTGACTGAGAACTAGAGATACTGATTAAGACTATATTTTCATACTTTATTTTTAGCTGCAAAAATAAGGAGAGAAAGTTTAGGAACTGAAAGTGTTGAAAGACGTTTTATGCAGAAAATCCAAGTAAAACCATGAATGACTTACCGCCAGATATAGAACGAAGAGTTTCACTAGTGGAAAAAACGGAACTCACTAGTCAAGGAGTGAAAAATGTGCTCAAGTCTGCAACCTACTCATGCGAGAAAATGTTCTTTTCTTTCTGATAAAAGCGCTATAAATTTCACCTCGAAAGAGGAGACTGGAAAACGGTTAGAAACTGGAACGTGTCAAGAAAATTCATGAACAAGAACACGAAGTCATGAATGACTCACCAGCAAAAATTACTGTCCACAGATGATAGATGAAGAGTTTCGTCGCTCAAAAAAAATTAGATGACGAATCAAAAGATAGAAAATCTTCTCAAGTCTGTATTCTAACAATGTGAGAAAAAAGCTTATCTTTGGACAACCTTCATAGTGATTTTCACTCAGGAAGAGAGGAACGAGGAATGTCTAAAAATTGTATCGAAAGATGTTTCATGAACAAAAAAGCACAAATAAAACCGTAACTGACTCACCAGCAAATGTTCAGGTTTCGAGATTGGCGATGAAGAGCTTTATAGGAATAGTAAAATAAATTATCAATAATAAGAATAATAACTGTTCTATCATGTCGAATGAAAACATAAAAAGTTCTCAAGTCTCCAACAATCATGGAAAAAGATTTTTTAACTTCATAATTTTTATTCAAAAAAAGTCGAGAGACGTTTGAAATCTTGAATAGCTTAATGAAGAGAAAATGCAAGAAAACATGAAAGACTTACCAGGGAATCCTATGTCTTGAAAATGGCAGATGAAGTGCTTCACTACAGGACTAACGAAAGAAGCAGTCAATAACTAACAAAACAGAGCTCCAGATTCCCCTTCAACCTACCAAACAGTTTCTGGCATTCCTGGCAACAGAGGCGTACCCTTCAGTTCGTGGGAAGAGGGGGGGACGACAAAAACTGTTTTCGGATACAGGTATGTACGTGGCGTCAATCACGCGCTCCCAGAAATTTTCAATATGCTTTCAAAAATTCTCGCGGGTCCACAACTCGAAATTCCAAAAAAAGGGCGTGGTTACAGGCAAGCCCCCGAAGAAAAATGCCAAATTAATTTTCAAAAAATTCTGAAACTTACTAAATTATTCACAAATGTAAACAAGTCACTTGCACATTTCCATAGCTCATATGTAACTTTCAAAAATTTCGCGATCAATTTTCAGGGGGCCCCTCATCCTCGTACGCCACTACTTGTTCTAGTGCTTTGACAAATCATTAGTAAAGTGGAAGGGACAAGTGTAAAGGAACTCGTGAAATCTCATTCTGAGACTAAAGGCTAGAAATCACTTTGTGTACATTGTCTAAACAAGTTTGGAAGTCAACAATTTATCTTGCATCACTTACTAATTGGAACCAAAGCGGAACAATTTCAAGCATGTTTATTCAATGTATGCAAAGCGTTTTCGAGTTTCTTAGTCTCAGAATATATGTGGACAAGTGGATAAAGATTAAAGATGTTAACAATGTACTCCAATTACTCGGAGTACATGAATTTCTGTGCAAAAAGCTATTTTCGATGCACAATTCAAACTGGCAAATTATAGAGAAGCGGCATGCGTGCGTGAGATGATGCAGAAAAAACATTCTTAGAAATGCCAAATCATTTGAATCTCTTGAAAAAGAAGAAACTGGTTAAAGTTTCTGCACCAAAAGGTGGCGTGGAAAGTTTCCGCTTTGATGCAGGAGCGAGTGATCAAAGAGTCGATGCCGACAAGTAGGAACAACTGCACTCAACGCAAACAGCCAGGAACGCAGACTGTCGCCGCAACAGAGTTTGCGCAGCGTGACAGATCGCGCCTGCCGCGCTCCATTTGAAAGGTCCTTTAATAAGCGAATGCATCGTCATTTTGGCGCGTTTCCATCTGTTTGATTGCGTAGACTTAAGGGCATATCTTTATTCCTTTTCTTGTCTCCAAGTAGAAATTTTCGTGCATGCCTATGAATACTTGCCTTTGTTGGAATATGAAGTGATTTGCTGTCTTGGGATTTTCCTCGTTAAAATGCGTTTTTAACCTCAAACTTGGTTTTGATGAGCGAGAGCCTACTGTTAGTGGCCCATTTTAGGTTTTACTAGATGGGTTTCAGCTTGAATACTCCTTCTGAGTTTGGTTCAGACAAGTATGTTGTGCTCTTCGCTTGTCGAGACTCCCTCGAACTTTTTCGAATGGAACTTTTGTGTCGTTCATATAGTACATAAATGCTATAGAAATCTGCTTTAGAGCGTGTGTTACGAACAATGCGCAATGGTTCCATCGTTTTGCAAGTGTTTTTGAAAATTACATTCGTAATCTAAGTTTACATATGCGCAAGTGTTCTGCTTGTTTCGCTGCTTCTATAAGTGGGGTGAGGATTGTGGCTAGAGCCTTTCTATAAAGTGATGCTCGTGTTGATGTGGAATCTGGCATATTGTTGGATCCTATTCACAAATCAGCTTGTTGTTATTGAGTAATGACCGGCTGCGAACTATCTACAACCCTCCCTATAGCAGGCGGTAGATTCATTGCTTGCCACCTCTCCAGTTTGTATCTTCGACATAGACTTTTATTTCTGATCTAGAGATTGTCTTTCTGTTTTTCTTGGTTTCAAGAAAAAGTAAGACTGATCTCTGACCAATTCACACAACTTTCCAGCAACAAGCTCTCTAGTTTCACTTAAGCACACCAATAACACTTTGAGTCGTACGTACGAGATCTTGACATTTTTGAAGTTTATCTTGACTGAAATCTTTTTGATGTTTATCCAAATTTGATGACGCAGATTTTCCTCTGTATTGGCTTCAGAATGGCGTCGGAAAGCTGCAATAAAGGTATCAAAATATATGCAGTAATCCCGAGTTTTCTCTTAATTATGTGCACCAAGTGGCTGATTTCAAGATTTTCGTGAAGTACTTGATATCAGAAAACTTCGTCTTCCTCTGCTATATTCAGCTATCAAGTGACGATGCTCACTGGCAAGAAGCATCAGGCTTCTCCTATCGTATCTCCTTTACAGTTGAGGTCTCATAAGGTCCTTTATTTGTTCTAGGTACACAGTCCTGTGCGGGTCGGCGCGGCGGTCCGAATAGCTATTGATCATTCGCAATTCGGAAAAGGATCCACTTGCTACTTTTATTCTGATACGTAGCAATCCCTTCTCTGATGCGTGTGATAGCCGTAGTTGGCTTCTTTCTGGTGGCCGCCGCTGCCAAGAAGAATACCAAAAACAACGACAGGTGCCGGTACTGCCACTTTTTAGTGGTCACATTTGAATGGGTTTGTGCCATAAAAGATGTCCAATCCTTTTGTAGGATGGAATTTTAGGGTTTAATAAGGACGGAGCGACATCATTTTGCTGGAGGTGATACGGCATGGGAGGAGAAGAAATTAGGAAAATACGCCACGAGGTGATTTTCCCTCACTTTTCTCTTTTCCAAGCGTGATCATCAAACTTCAGTGAAACTCGATTAGTGGAAACATTGGAAACTATATGTCAGAAAAATTCTATCGCAGAAGGTGATGATTTTCGAGGACTGGATCAGTTGGAGTTCCGGGTAAGATTCCGGTGCAAGTTAAATTCAATTTATCTATTCCGCTTAGTGTAACGCTCTATTCGAAGAATATGAAGATTTGATAGAGGAGTACTACTACAAGCACCAAGCAAAGAATATGACGAAATGGCTATGTGAAGAGAAAACTAAGCGTGAGTTTTATTTTTGGAAACCTTATTGTTATTTGTAAGTATAAGTATTTTCAATTACTTCCTATGCGGTCTTATTCGTATTTATAAGCATATTTTGGTGCCCATATGAGGTAGACTATTTGAAGTTTGTGGCATACTAGCTGGGATGTAAATAGTCGCACTCCGTGTGCACTTTTCTCGATCAGTGGCGCATATCAGTTGGTGCTTGTAGATATTTCATAGCCTAAGTAGGATATGCTGTAAGTATACCCTAACTTCATTAGCGTGAGATGCACTATTTCATCGCGATTGGCCCGAATTGCTGAGGAATTTTGCGACCGGAGAACGCTACCGTGCTGCACTTTCAAAAGAATTGTGGGGGAGCGTCGCTTTGCGGAAGGTAGTGATGCGGCCGAGCTGCCCGCATTTTTCGAAGCAAGAAGTGTTATATTTGTGAGATTGGATAACTGCTGACAGGGAAGTTTTGAGTATTAATGGTAAAATCTTTGTAAGCGAGTCTTTGTTCTTCTTGTTATACACTTTTGCTCAACATTACTAAAAAAATTCTTGGGCTCACTCTTTAGTTGCTTGCATGTCGGCACTGGGCGCTGCTAGTTTACTAGCAAGCTTTTTCTTAAACAAGGACCATGCGAGATATATCGTGCGTCCTGTACTTGCACCGAAGTCAACCAACCATGAACGGGCTCAGCTAGCCAGAACTACTAGTTGGTAAACTAGGAGCAAGTAAGGCAGGACAAAGCATGAAGCTACAATGAATGAAGAACATAAGGCACTGCAAGTGACTGAGTGTACTTCAATGGCCCACAGTAATATCCGGGGATCTTTTATAGGCGATTAAGGCATCAGTAAATCAATGTCAAGTGTTGTTATTAACTTACATTAGGCTAATTAAGATCACAAAGGTATAAAAAAATCAGTTATCTCACTGCTGCGGTTTCAGTGCCCGATTTGACATTAAAATCAAGTTAAATTAAATCAAAAAGAAATTTCTACTTTAACTTTGACTACGAACATGGAGTGCAAATTGCAAAATCCGTGACTGTGAGCATACAGATACTAGTACGAATGATGCAGTACACTCAAACGAGTAGTAAGGGTTCAAATTGAAAAGCACTGCTAAAGATCGTTGAATCGTCCCTATCTAGTTATTTTATCTAATATTACGTGAACTTTCCAACCGAAAACATCATGATATCTTGTTTGAAGCTTGATCTCCCTTACTATGGGAAGGATCACTTTTTTAACTTCAGTGGAGTACAATGGTAGCTTTTACGAATGGACCTATTCGTTTCTGTTTCCTAACTTTCAAAAAAAGCTTTCAGTCTGCTGTCCGGATGGTCATTATGGAGAGAATTGCAACAAATGCCCCGGATTAGAACAGATAGGCAGAGTTTGTTTCGGCCGAGGAAATTGCGACGTAAACAATCGTGAAGAATATCAAAACATTGAGTACTGGTTTAATTTTAGGGAGACGGCAGAAGGTATGGGACCGGTAAATGTGTCTGCGATGCTGGTTATGCCGGAAATTTGTGCAGAAAGTGTGCTGCTGACTATTTCGAGAAGTCTAAGAGCGAAAACACCATAGAATGCGAAAGTATGTTTTTCTAGGATATAATTTAGCTAGTATTTTCACCGTCTAAGAACTAGTACCTGCTTTATTTATTTATGAGTGTGTAATTTTGAGAGTGTTTCGATGGCTGTGCCGGCGGATGTACAAAGGCAGGACCGAAGGGCTGCACGAAATGCAAAAGTGGATATAATGATACCGATGATGGTTGCACAGGTTGGATTACTTTACCCTAGTCTTTTGGAGCTTTGCCATCTTTCTGTTTCTTTGTAGATATAGATGAATGCGCTCTGGAAACGACGTGTTCAAATGGTCATGAGACATGTGTGAACCTTCCGGGTTCCCACAGATGCGATTGTGAAGATGGCTATAAACGCGATGGAGCATATTGCGTACTGGATGTTGAAGGTTAGTTAGTGATTAGACGTCTTAACTTTCACGCGCATAAAACGCATCACAAATTGTCAACCCAGGATCAACAGTCTCAAATCGAGACACGTATGCTCTCTGAGGTTTTCTCGTCAACCATTCGGTTAGACTTGCCAGAGCTTTACTTTGCGAGATGCGGGATGTTCATAGGGTGTTGCGCGAGATTACATGGTTGACGTGATGCTCACTTTGCCCTCAGTAAAGGTACCCTTTTCATGAGGTAAATGCTCTCTACGAGCATGCTCTCTGGTCATTCTCTAGCATTGATTAAGCCTTGAAGCTCCGCCATTCAGCCGCCAGTTGTGTCCCAGGGTATTTGTGTAGATTTAGCTGAAAAGAAGACCACATTGTTTTACCATTACTTAGGAAGTAAAAAATAAGGCGCCACATCTTTTTTACACCTATTCGCTGGCTGCTTGCCTCAAATGCTGAGAAATGAATTCTGCAGACGTATAAAATTATCAAAAGTGTGATGCTGTGTTATTTCGAAATTGAACATAAACCGAGGATGATCATGTTAGCAATCTATGGTCGAGTCGTCGACGCGTGGATTTGCCGTAGCTTGCGGAGCACGCGCGGCGCAGCTGAAATGCCACGAGAGCACGGCTTGTTTAACAGCGGTTTCGTTGCAAGCGTTTGACCGCGCTGCGCGTGCGTTAGAAGTTACGACCAGTCCGGGCGGTCGACCACTCGTCGAGGACACTTGCTATTCTTATTCTAAAAAGTGAAGGGGTATAGTGCAAAATGTTTGTCTTATTTGGAATGAGGTTAAAAGTTACAGCGAAACCGTATCGAATGCTGGTACCTCCTGACAAGCTGCTCAAAGGAATTGCAATGACAAGTTTGGCTCTCATCACTGCGTTTGTGATATGGCAGCGTTCAATCTTTCTGCTCATCGTGACGGCAGGCGCTGTTGTGCTAATTATCTTTATAGATATGAATGTGAATCCGGAAACGATACCGGATCGTGCAAAGAAGTATTTGGGATTTTAGATATAATCAATAATGTATAGGTTTTGTTGTGAATTTGATTGTTGACATCTTATGGGTACAGTTTATTTGGAGACTTGCTTTATCTAGTTGTTATATCGATTTCAATGAAGATTTGAAAACCTTCAATACTGCTTTCTGAGTTATTATAAAAGAACGAAAATTTGGAACTAAATATTCACTACAGGAGTAGCGCGGAATGCTCATTTTTACAAGTTATACTCAGCACCGATGGAAGTAATTGATTATTCAGCTTTCGCAAGAGCAGCAAAGACAACTGCAGATGATCTCAATGCTGATGACGGTGACGAGTCAGACGAAGGTGAAGAAGAACCCGAAGACCAACCTAGCCATAGTAATGCTGAACATGCGAAAGAGGAATTATGAATCTCTCTTCAGTTGGCTTTTCACTTAATAATATTTGTTTTATTTCGTGTTTTATTTATAAACTCGGGATATGTCTCCTGTAGTGTCCCAGCTACAGTTCAGTGCAGGTGTTCATGTGATTTCACTTTTTGAAGATTTCAAGCTGCAATCTCTGTCAAATGAATGTGTTCGTGCAGATGAATTCCTACGATATATGCATAAATATGGAAAAAGTTTTCAGTGTCAACAGGGCCGTTGTATCAGTTTCTAACAAGAAAATTCACCTGAGATTTGCCTTTCGAGATGAGACACTATTTGCAATACGCTGTCTTTAATGCGAAGCATCATTCTGAAGCGAGGACTGTTGTAAGGGCCTTCTTCCGCTGTTATTCGCACCCGCAACTCTCGGGGAAAGACTATGAATGCAATGTTTCAGCGCGCCTAGAGTAGCCTTCGGCTTCGCAGTCAGAGACAGGACCCGGCACGCGTTGGTTTGGAGCATTTTTGGAAACATTCCCATGACTTCGTAAAAATGTGCGAAGTTTTTCTAAACGTAAAAGTCAGCAGGGAAACCCTTATTCGATCGACATAACAATAAAAAGCGAAAAAAATGCATTTCGATGTGTCTATTATAACAAAATGCAAAAAAAAACTATTCCGAATTGAGTAAATGCTCCGTCGTTGAGTATGATAACATTTTAGTGTTCAAAATGTTGAAAACCCTGGTTTGGTTCGCCTTCTTGGCTATATAAAGATTTTTGAGCGTTCTAATCATCCAGTTTAAAAGGTCCAAAATATGTGAACTTTGATATTTACGCTCCGAACCGACCCAGTTGGTTTGATCTTGGTTTAGAAACCAACAAATTCTGGAACGGGTATTAGGACATGTAAGTTTTTGAAACTATTTACATAATATAATTTGGAGTAATTTTGTATGCACATAGCCCATATTCGGTGTCATGGTTGTACAGGGTGTTGTGCCTACTGTTTGATTGTAAATAACTCTTTTGTAATGAAGTTTATCGAGAAGCTTTAGGTACCATTTTGTAGAGCGAGGTTAAACTTATTTTACAGTATGGAGCGAATTATCTATAGCGCTTTATTACCGTAGGAGTACGGTACGAACTTCGACAAGGATTTTAGGCCATGGAAGGCTATATTCCGTCTCGAAGCAAAATCAAACCAGCCAAAAACTCTTATACTACGGTAATGGGAACCGCTGATTTCGAATGTGAGATTCCCAATTTACTGTGATGCTTCTTTCCTAAGTTATCCCCGGTAAATCGTAATAACTAAATGCCCAGCATTTGTCAAAAATGTAATTACACCGTCAAAAAAGCTGAAAACACTCGTAAAAAGTTGTTAGATGCAATCAGCATGCGCGAAAACCCTAGTACACGACTTTTCAGATTTTTTGAAAAGAATTTCATTACGTGGTATATTTCACAAAGGTTCCATATGCTGGAGGTTCTTACCGTAATCCTACAGTAATAAAGAGTGATCGATGACTCGCTCTATATTGAATCTAAGTTTAGCCTCGCTCTACAAAATGGTACCAAAAACTTCTCGAAACACTTCGTTACAAGAGAGTTATTTACAATCAAACAGTAGGCACTTTTTTTTTGGGACACCCTGTATAATCGTCTAACCCAATAGTGCTAAGCATGTTGCTGATAAGAACAAATGAGTTTTTTTTGAAGCATCTAATTCCTCGATAAACCCCAAATTTCGACTTATAGTTTATCGCAAATTCATGATAGAACACCATCTGTTTTTATCAGCAACATGCTTAGCACTGGATTTCAAAGAAAAAACGGTCGGCCGCTGGGGATCATCAGGGGATCATACAAAAAGTTGGAATGGCCAAAGCTTATCAATCCTATTTTATTGCCACCCTTTTGCCATAATAAAAATCTCATGTAATGCTGGTACTATATTTCGCTTGCAATATTGTTTATTTTGATTTCATATTCGGTTTAATTACCCAAGTTTGAGAAAATCTCCCAAGTACACAACTCCAGCAATCTAAAGACCCGCAACAACGAGCAACGCCGATCTCAATTCATTATATAGGTGACAGGAGAGAAAAATGCTAAAATTACCTAGTGAAGGTGGGGGAACATGGCACAATGGGCATGTTTGTTATTGTTCTTTTATGTCCTCCAAAAACATGTTGAGGAGCTCATAGGTTTATAAGAAGATTCCTTTAAAAAAAACGACAACGACCTTTTTCACCCTACAGGAAAATCCTTTTTTCCTGGCAAGCTATATATTTTCTGAAAGCGGTCGACGAGAGGATTCATTACATAGCTAAAGACTTTTCTGGCTTCTCATACAAAGAAGTTACAACTTCTAATTGAAAAATCCCTCAATTCCAGATTTTTTCCTGGCAGGCTGTATGTTTTTTGGAAGCGGGTGAGAACTAGACTTGGTCATGCCTTTCGTGCCTTCATATCCTCCTATTTAAAAAATTATTATCTTTATTTTGTACTGTAAAAATATGCTCAGTCTTTCTCATTAGTCGGGATGTCTGTCACTTCATATGATATGTACAGGGTGTCCCAAAAGTAACTACACACTTTTCAATCGTTAATATCTCTCTTCCCATTGTGTCTTTTTCCATCATTCAAGTACCATTCTGTAGAGGAGGCTTCAACTTAGGTCTACAGTACCGAGCGAATTACCGATCGCTCTTCATTACTGTAGGATTACTGTAAGAACTTCGACAAGGATTTTAAGCCATTGGAAGCCATATTTTGCCTCGGAACAAAACCAAACAAGTCAAAAACTCTAACACTATGGTAATGGAAGCCGCTGATTTCGAGTATGAAATTTCCGCTTTACTGTGATGCTTCTTTCCAAAGTTATCCCAAGTAAACCGTAATAACCGAATTTCCAGTATCAGTTTGAAATGTGATTACAACTTCAAAAAAAGCTGAGAACTCGTAAAAGGTTGTGTAGTGGAATCAGCGTGCGCGAAAATCTTAGTACACGATTTTTCAACTTTTTTGAAAAAATTTTGTCAGATGGCATATTTCACAATGGTTCCACGTGCTGGAAGTTCTTACCGTAATCCTACAGTAACGAAGAGCGATCAGCGATTCGATCGATACTGTAAATCTAAGCTAAAGCTTCCTCTACACAATGACACTTGAATGGTCAAAAAAGACCCATTGGGAAGAAAGATATTGACGATTGAAAAGTGTGTACTTACTTTTGGGACACCCCGTATACACTCTCAAAGCGGACAACTGCTTAATCCAGTGCTATCCTTATTCTCGATCTTCAGGAAGCAGCCTGTAAAGTTATCACACTCTTACGGGGCCTATACAGCTGATCCATTGCAACTTTCATCATGAACTTTTATAATCAACTAGCTGGCTTACCCGGCTCCGCCGTATCCGGACCAAACTTGGCACACATACACTTCGGGCCCCGGCGGGTGTCACAGTCCACTTTTCGTTATCGATCGATGTCGATTTTACCGATTTTTATCGATTTTTTGGCAGAGTTCACCTACAGGGCTAGGAGTTGGCACAGGGGGGAAGTGAGCATGGGGATTCCGAATACAATATTAGTTTTCAGAATTATCGATTGCTTTTATTGATTTTATCGATTTTTTGGCAGAGTTCACCTACAGGGCTAGGAGTTGGCACAGGGGGGAAGTGAGCATGGGGATTCCGAATACAATATTAGTTTTCAGGATTGTCCATTACTTTTATCGATTTTATCGATTTTTTTGCAAAGTTTGACCTGCGGGGCTGGGAGTTTGCACAGAGGGTAATCGAGCATGCAGATTACGAATACAATATTAGTTTTCAAGATCGTCCATTACTTTTATCGATTTTATCGATTTTTTGAAAATTTGAGCTAGGGGGCTGGAATTTGGCACAGGGGTGTTCGAGCATGCTGATCACCCCCCTTGGGGATGATCAGCATGCTCGATTACCCCCCTGTGCCAACTCCCAGCCCCCTAGCTCAAACTTTGCAAAAAAATCGATAAAATCGATAAAAGTAATCGATAATCGTGAAAACCAATATTGTATTCGGAATCCCCATGCTCGATTACCCCCCTGTGCGAACTCCCAGCCCCGTAGCTCAAACTTTGCAAAAAAATCGATAAAATCGATAAAAGTAATCGATAATCCTGAAAACCAATAATGTATTCGGAATCCCCATGCTCGATTACCCCCCTGTGCCAACTCCCAGCCCCGTAGCTCAAACTTTGCAAAAAAATCGATAAAATCGATAAAAGTAATCGATAATCCTGAAAACCAATATTGTATTCGGAATCCCCATGCTCGATTACCCCCCTGTGCAAACTCCCAGCCCTGTAGGTGAACTCAGCAAAAAAATCGATAAAAATCGATAAAATCGATATCGATCGATGACGAAAAGTAGCCTATGACACCCGCCGGGGCCCGTAGTGTATGTGTGCCAAGTTTGGTCCGGATCGGTTCAGAAATGGAATTTTCTATTCGGAACATACGTACACACAGACAGACAGACAGACAGACAGACAGTCAGACATACAGACAAACAGACATTCAGCTTTATATATAAGATGTATTTCGAAGGATGACCTTTCCTCTAAGATCATTCAAGTTTCACACTTTTTGGTAAAAAGATTTTTTTTCTTAGAAGACTCAACCGCCATTAATTATTCGTAGTTGTCCTCTGCTTCTTATGTACGCTTCAACGTGGGAAAACACATTTGTGGCTATCCTTTCCTCCATTTCATCGTACAAACAGATGGACTGTCAAAAACTCCAAAATCTTCGCAGCTCTAGCGGTTTAAAAGTAAGAGTACTCTAAATATCCCAACTCTCCAGTAATAAGTACTCTTGGTGGTACCTGCTTTTGGATTCAACCGCTACGATCTCTTGTTAGATTCTAGATATGACAAAAATGGAAACAATGTCTCTATGGAGTCAATCAGTTACTCTTCATGGAATCAGCCATCTGTTCAGCCAAAATACTTCGATAAAGAGGATGCAACTCTACTCTGCACTCGTTTGTTATTTCAGCAAATACTTGAATGGCTTCATTGACATATAACATACAGGCTTTGCATGTAAAGTTCTTTTCAGCTTTTTCGTTTTTTCCCAGAAGTGAACACAGGCGACAACTTCTATGATGTACTTTTTTGAAGGCACAGCCCCCACCCAAATTATGTTTGATGAGATTTTGATATCTAATAGCTGCGGGGCCCTTAAATGTATAATTGTCCAACTCGCGCTGCTTAGAGATCAGGGCCCGGCATAGATCGTCTGGAAACAGGCTGGACTTCGTTTCTGGAACAAAAAGCAAAGGAGATATCGTTTTTGACGAGTAGGGGCCCAGCACCAAGAATAAGCGCCATTCAGTTGAATACAAGTTTATCGGACAGGTTATCACACGATTGACATGCTCTATCTTGTATGGCGAAAAGTGCGCGCGATTTGAAAGCAAGGCTAAAATCAACAAATAGCTTGTTTACAGCGCACACAGAATCATATGGCACCAAAATTGAACTATATACTTAGAAAATTATTTGCAAAAGAATTATGTAAAAAGGTTTGAAAACTTATGTGAAGTAATACGTTTTCCAAAATTAGATCGTCTCCAGACGGCCACCCGACGATCTGAGATCGTCTGAAGCATATATTTCTATCACTTCACATAAGTTTTGGATTTTTCTATCATGGACGGATTCTTCGGCCAAAAATCTATCCCTGAGCATGAAGACATTTTTAAATCATTGCCTTCCCTTTGTTTTTTGCCTTCATTTCTTCATATATCGCTTTGTGAAATATCGCGCTCCAATGCCAAACTCTTGTGCATGCGTAGTATTTTGCTCCAATTTGGATTTTCATATCTTACGTTTTTTTCATTCAGACTAATAAGTATTTCTTGTTTTCATCTTCTCCTAAGCAAATAGGTCAAAGGGGACTTCGTAAAACTTCCGAAAGTCAGGAGAGACTTCGTTTTCGGAAATCCTGGAAACCAACTCGTGCCGGGCCCTGTTAGAGATGCTTCAGAAGCGAAAAAATTGCTTCGAAAATACTTCGGAAGACGGACTGCCACATTAGCTCCTCCCTATCAAGGTTCCGGCCCAGAAGTGAAGGTAGAAGCACATTTTCTCCTTTTCGCGGTTTGAGACCATAATGCACAAAACATTTATTAGAGGTAGAGAATACATATTCCAGGCAAGATGTGAAATAAGTGAAATCCAGCTGGTAGAAAGAGGAAATAGAGGTAATGTCCTGATAGTTGCATTCAAAAAGCTGATCACTGGCATTCTAAGCAATAAAGGCATTCACTCACACCGTAAAAAAAATCACAGAAATGATACTTGTCCCGAGCGCAATGTAAGTAGAGAAAATTGATAATTATATACCTTTCTGAAAAATTTCAGTTTAATTACTGGAAATAAGTAGTCAGAATCATATGATTAGAGGTTACACTTCTTTGAGATTAACATCAAGAGATTTCACAGAGCAAAAAAGGATAACTAGTTTGGAAATTCTAAGTAGATCCGTCCGAATGCTAGTCCCAGACGAGAGCGGCTGCCTACATAAGCAAAGCGTGCGCGGGCGTATGAGTCCTAGTCATCGCAGAAGGTAACAAGCGCCGCGCTTTCGCTCCGCAAAAAATCCGACAGCCTTCGTCAGAGACGGATCTATAAAAAACAAATACGCTGCATCGCGTCTATCGCATGTAGTCGAGACTTCAGACTGATATTGAACCCTCTCTAAAGTCTGTCTTGCCGATAAGCACGTTCAACAGTGCACTGCGTCCTTGCTGACTATGTCTGAGAGCCTCATCCAACAGATCCTCAGTGTATTGCACATTTTCCGCGGATAAAGTTGTACCCCAGCCTCCGAGAGCTATCGCTACATCGTCATAACGCGTGCGCTAAAAATGTAGGCGTTAGTTACGCTGGAGACAAATGCGCAAAGCAAAGTAGAGCACTCACGCTAAGATCCACCGCAACACTGCTGTTGAACATGGGGATTTGTTCTCGTGCTATTTGAGTCCAACATGCATCATTGCCTATCACGCCAATGACTGGTAGTTTGTGTCGCGTGAATGTATCGTATTCCATGATAGAGTAACCAGAGGAACCATCTCCCCAGAGAATATAAACGGGACTATCGGGATGAACAACCTAAATTATAGAATCCAGATCAAAGAAATTGCTCCTAAAGTAAGGGTACAGATGAGTAGATGTGACGGTAATATAGTGGCTTTACGGTGTTGAATGGGGCGGTGAATACCAGAAATCACTCGGATCCCAACGCAAGAAAATGAAAACCTTCTAGCGTCCAGGGAAACACTCTCAACTATTGGGACTGCCAGATAAGGCGGGGCGAGGGCTTCACGCGATGGCGTCACAAAAATCAAGGCACAGAGTTTCGGGGAAATTGCGCCCAACTTAATACGCAGTCAATTAACTATTAAGTAAATGGCTTGCGCCATTTTCGAACAGAAGCTCTTTGCGTTTTCAAGCTTGTTTCGAATCTTCTTTAACATGTTTTTATTCCTGCGTTCTTTTTTCTTTCGCAGTCTTGGTTTTACGTCGCCTTCAGTTCTCTTTTAGATAGAACATGCGGATGCAATCTCTAAATGGAGCTGTTGTAGGACGTCACATTCTGCCTAACTCTGTGGCTAACTAGTTCTTTTGAGCGGCACCGTATAATGTCGTTTTATGTTCTCGAAAGCAGCGATAATTTTTTGCAATTTCACATCATAAAGCCCGTGCTTCCTGAAATGGACGACTTTTCGACTCTATTCATATGGGATTGCTTGATTTCAGAGGACTTCTGCCATCTTCTGTAAATGCTGTTGTGCTGTGATGTGAAATATTGTTGTGACTGTGACTGATGGTAAAGATTGAGTCCTTCCTTATTTTATTAAAAATTGAAGTATGCATGATGAAAATGATGCAGCTTCGTTTATCAGTGGTCACCGTAGATTGACATAATTCAGGCTTTTCGGTTTTTCTGTGTATTGTCTGCCTTTACTCATCATTCTCCAACGCCTCCCTGCTTTGCTTGGCAAATTTAGTTAATCGCGAAATCATCCTAGTTTCTCGGCAAGTATATGAATTACTCCAGAAAGCTCTGCAGATGATCATGCTTCTGTGGTCTGCCAGATCATATATGCGCTAAGGCTGTGGTTGTTATGAACGTTTCTAGAAAGACGGGCGCTCGTCTTTTAGAATAGAAGGATGAATTGCTGGAAAGGGCTGCACTAGAACTGGGCGACCGACTTGCACCCGTAACGAGTTCGTAAAAGAATGCGGTTTTTTTATTTGTTGGATGAAACTCAATTAGCTTGTGAATGGATGATTCTGCTAATTGCAGTCGCTTCGGTCTGTGGATTGAATGGTTCTTCAACGTATTTTTTTCGATATAGTCATTGACTGACTGATTGTGCAAAGTATGTTTTGTCAAATAATCTTTTTCGCATGCATTATGGATGGGTTTGATCAAGAATACGAAGTTATCCACGAAACCTTTCACAGAACAAGCTCAGTTTCTTATTAGGAAGGTGAGCTGGATGCTAGTAATCCCTAGACCTCAGTGCCAGAGGAAGGGGGGGACTTGTCTCCTCATAGAGTCTTTCGTGAATTTCTTTACATTCAGTGATACTGTGTCAGCAATGGATACCCTCCGACTGTCAGGCTATACTCGGAAACCTCCCTAATTTGAGCGACATTGATGAAGAGAATCCTCGTGACCTGATGCTAAAAATTCATGCCTATTCAAGAAGTTCCGCGTTAACATTTTTATGAGTAAAAAGGTTTATCCTTTCATTCACTTTGTTTGTGACTTTTAGACCTTTTTGTTTGAAAATGGTGACGCTCACAGAAGAGTGACGCAAACAAAGTAGCTTCTTCTACCCATACAATACCACTTGAAACTATTTTTGAAAAAACACTGCCTAACAGGCACCACTGGATTCTGACTTAGTGAGTCTTACCAGGTTTTTCTGCAATCCTAAGGATGCTTTAGGATTGCTTGATACAATCGATTGTGCATCAGCATAGTGAATTGTATTGCCCTTAGAACTTGTCTTTGTTACTTTATTAGTATAAATATATAATATATGTCTAGAAACGTTTCTACTTTTCAAAACCTATTTCAAGTGAGTTCAAGGTGTCTAGAGCTAATTCAAGTGGGGTTTAAAGGCTATGATTGAGGTTTCAGAGAGCCTTATTAGGGCTAGTTTGATTTTGAGAAATTGGAATGGGAATAAATCTGGGGAGTTCCGGAGAACAAGTGGGATAACCACCGCGAGGTCCCCGAAGGTTTCTGCAAATGTTCCGCGGAACCCCAACACCGACTGTCCGATTTGCGCGCGAACAGTACGTCCTAAGTGCCGCCACTTTGCGCGAAATGCCGCCATTTCAGATGCACTAATTTATCACGCACACATTTTACCGCCCTTCTCACAACACTACGAGAGAGGATGGCTCGAAGACGGATACTCTGAAAGTTACGTGGGATTCATTTGCTATCTCTCCTTTATAATAAACAATTTCGATATCTGCTGAAAATGTTTAAGTACAAAGCCGGCGCCATGCTTTAATCTTATATATAAAGCTGAATGTCTGTTTGTCTGTCTGTATGTCTGTCTGTCTGTCTGTATGTATGTATGTATGTACCTTGTCCTACAGGAGCGTGCGGGCCCATTTTGACCGAGTGGGCCGGGTTTCCAACGGAGGGGGCGAGTCGGCCAAAAGGGATGGGCGGCCGCCAACGAACCTCAATGCACTTTGACCGAACTCAATCGAGCGATTGGGCGCGGCAATCTGATATATAAAGCTGAATGTCTGTTTGTCTGTATGTATGTATGTATGTCTGTCTGTCTGTCTGTCTGTGTGTACGTATGTTCCGAATAGAAAATTCCATTTCTGAACCGATCCGGACCAAACTTGGCACACATGCACTTCGGGCCCCAGCGGGTGTCATAGGCTACTTTTCGTCATCGATCGATATCGATTTTATCGATTTTTTGCAAAACTTGAGCTACGGGGCTGGGAGTTGGTACGGGGGGATATTCGAGCATGCTGATTACGAATAAAATAATGACAGGGCCGGGCGGAGCCGGGTAAGCCATATAGTCAGGTATAAAATAACAAGTATAAACTCTCAAAAGAACTTGGCAATAAGAAATCTTGGATGCTATAGCAATAGTCACTGAGTAAAAAGTTCATCACTTTGCATCCTTTATGGTACATATGACTTTCACGCCACCTAAGAAAATAAGAGATGAGGGTCTTCCCAGTGAACGTCGCGCAAAGTGTAGAAATCATCTTCCATAAAACTGCAGAGAAGACTGCTCACCTTAGCCCCCAGAGCAAATCCGCCAGCGACTCCAAGAGTTCCGAATGCTCCAGGATCAAGCCATTGCAGTGGTCCACGAGGTCTTACTATATATGCTGCTGACCCCACAAAGTCTCCGCCGTCAGCAACAAGGATTGCGTTGTCAGGAAGTTTCTGAAAACATTAACAACGAATTTTGCCATAACTTTGGAAGGTCACCCGTTTAGTACCTTGTCTAGGCGGGCAAGGAAGTTTAGAGGATTAATGAATCCGTTCGCCAGCTCTTCACTCATTTTCTTCGCATTCGCTGCTTCTTTTTCATCTTCTTTGCTTCTCAACTCATCTATCCACGAGCGTGGCACTTCATACCCACTTGCCTGAATTGAATGCACACTGAAGATAGTACATAATTTCCCACAAGGAAACAGGAAGGCGAAATTGTATTAATGATGGTGAAGAGTAATGTTATCGAATTACTCTTTTTAATTCTTTCGCGATCAAAACCAGTGTAGATGCAACGTCGGCCAACACGGATACATCTGCATTCCAAAACGCCTTTTCATTCTAAAGGAAAAAAAGATACGATAAAGACGTGAAAGAAAGAAAATTTTACTACCTTTGTTAATTGATTTATATTTCTATTTACACAAACAATCTTCGATTTCTTCGACAACACACGTCCGTATGAAAGACGAAAATCACAGACTGTTCCTGTAACACCTTCTATGACAAAGCAGATAGTAAGCTAATGTCAACTACTTGAGTGATATGCTTATGCTAGCGTCTAGCCAAATCTGAACGAAGCTGAGGGGCCCGACTGGGACACTGCCCAAATCTTACCCCCCCCCCCCCCAAGGGTAAAACCTACCCTTGAAGGTAGGGTTGACCCTCAGGGTTTGTTGATGAATACGGCTTCATTTTCAGTTCTGGCCCCAATATAGCGGACAATGCATGGTTGCGAGGAGACCCGACCACGAGGGCGTTAGCCACGAAAGCCTGCAGGCCGATGAAAGTTGTGCGGTTTGCAGTTGGGGGTCAAGTTTGGAGACAAATTTCCCGGCCATGGGTGTCATTTGCGCTGCGCTTGAACAGCTGGGCGTATGTCAAAAGGCCCGATTTCTATTGCCAAATAGACATAAACTACGAGCGAACTTGTTTAGAACTTCAGTTCCCTTATGGTTTCAACAAAAATTTTGAATTCAGCAAGTGGTAACTTCGATCACCAGTGATTTAATGCAGTTTGTCTGGTAATTCTAACAGACTTGCAAAGTCCAAACTGAGTTTTTGAGTTGCTGATAGTCAAAGAAACTACGTTTCTTGACCGCCTCTCTACCTAAAGAATAGGACTGCCTGTGATTTTCAAGTAAAAGCTCTATGTGTCGTCTGTCTGTACATTGGCCCCCTAAACCCTTTTCACGGTATTTTTTCTTCGAGTAGATTTGATAATGGCTCGAGACCAGTGATCCACCTGCTAAAATGGTGAGATCGGCATCGCGTAAAACTTCTTTTCTGTTCTGGCGCATCTGCAGACGACTTTCTTTACCAAGAAGCCCACGAGCCATGCCTCCCAGATATACGGGGATGCCCAGCGTCTGCAAAAAAGCTCAACATAGAGCTAAACTAGAGATATGTGAGCTCAGTAGAACCTCAACAGCTTCAACTAATTCCTTGGGAGCAACAGGTGGAAGTGTTGCTTGACTACCAATAAGCATCACTGGTTTTTTCGCTCGTCGTATGAGTTCTACAATATTCGAAACCTGAAAAAAGTCATTCGATTCCAGTTGGGTTTTTTGACAGATTCACCTGTTCCACTTTTGGCATTGGGATTACATTAGGAAGAGGTGTGATATCTTGTGGATCCCATGCAGCATTGAATTGTCGAGACACATAAGCCCGAAGGTAGATGTTCAGTGCTTTCTGAATGGATAGGAACTTTCCGAGATCTACAGTCTGCCTTAGCGTCATGCCAAGGACGAGGAATCGGCCAAAAGATAATCACATCCACAAAAGTTACCTGCACAAATCCGGTGGCGTTTGGATTAAAACCGATTTCCTTGACAACCAGTTGGTAAGGGTATAGCACATCAACGGGGAATTCTACAAAAACCGGGCCAGGGCTTCCAGAAGTGGCAGCCTAAATGGGCTCGACTGTTTTAGAATAAGATAACGAAGTAAGAAAACATTACCTTAATGGCTTGTCGTAATGTTGGTACGATGTCTCGAAGACGTTCTACACGAGCAGCATATTTACAAAGAGGACGGAAGAGAACAAGTTGGTCAATGTCCTGAAAATGTCACTTCAAGAACAAATTTTAAGTGACAGGGCTAGATTTACCTGTAAAGCACCACGACCTTTCAATAAAGATGGCGCAGCGCCACCAATAAGCAGCAGGGGGCTTTCAGCCATTTGGGCATTCTTGACAGCAGTGATCGTATTCGTCAACCCAGGACCTGCGGTAACAGCAGCGACTCCAATGGACTGCCGTAGACGTGCAACCGCGTCTGCGGCGAAGACTGCAGTAACCTTCACAGCAGACAATGAAATTGTGCCTTATTCTACACTCACTTTCTATCAAAAGACAAAGTATTTTTGATCCAAGACTTTAGCCTGCACAACTAGAGGTACAAAAATCAAACTTTACAGCGCTATAAATCAATCACCCGATCTCCAAATCAGGCACGGATTCCTGATCGGAAACCAGCACCCGATCTGGCGATTGATACATAGCACTTCCTAAAGTCTGCTTCGTTCATAAAATTGAAAATGAACCAAAATGCTTCATCATGTATTGTATGACTAACACAGCTTTATAATTCATACTTCTCAGATCCCATTAATATCTTGCTTTTGAGTTTTCAACAACGAATTCAATGATGTAATCACTAACCTCATGTCTGGTGTCGATTATCTTAATACCCAAGTTCTCAGCAGCTACCAAAATTGGGGAGATGTGACCACCGCACAGAACAAAGATCTCCTTGACGTCATGTGACTAAAAAGACACATTTACAACATCCAGCCAGCGAACAATGACAGCACTACCTTTAGCACGGACGCCACTAGTTCCCCGCCATGCCGCTTTGAATTTTCTTCTACCTTTAATGAAAGGAGATTAGTGCTAACGTCTCACATACTAGGAATGCAAAAATTTCTCATACCTGGAATAAATTTGAAAAGAAATGCTGGCCATTACCACTGCCAAGAGAACGAGCAATGTTGGTGAGATCACGAACGGAGCGAATATCCAGCCATTTCCACAATAACAAAATTAAAGCTGCTAAGAATAGTAGAGGTATGAGCATAGCTAAAAAAAAGAGCCAATTTGGACATCAGAATCCAAATGATACGTAGAACGGATTTGCAGGATTGTATGTGAGACACAGGAACGAAAAAAGACAATAAACCGTATGGATAAGACTTCGCTGGATTTTGTGATGCAAAGAAAAAAGAGACAAGCTAGAAACTGACGCTAGCATCCGTATTGCTGCGCACAACTACAGTAGATTATTTTCATATATTTTATAACTCAAAGAACGATTCTGCTAGTATTACAGATGAATGCGCAAGGCAATCAATGTTTCGGCATATTAAGAAAGAAAAATAATTTCTCTGGGTATTTGAAACATAGTGGCAGCGGAGCAACTCCTGATAAGCAAACAATCGAGCAAAGTTCAACGATCATTGCCACTAGCGGCCCCAAACCCCTCTTCAAGGGATGAGTAACAAAGTTCTTGGGAGTGACCTACACAAGCCGTGAAAGTCATGAATTATGCGAATAACTTCCTTTTGCTGCAAACAAAATTTCTGAAGTATTTCTATGAGAATCCAAATCAGCTCTGTGGGAGAATAACACTACCCTCACGCCCTACTTCTTGAAATTCTGAGGTTCTAAGCCAGCAAAAATTTGAGAATATCCTAATAATTTTTGAAGGAAACAAATGAAGGGCACTGCGCTATGCCCTTCATTTGTTTCGCTGTTCCTTCTTTCCACAATATCACAACATTTATGTCGTCCTCCGGAATATGACCGCCACTGCATGAGAATGAAAGAGGACTTAATTATTGTGGAAATGTACGACGAAAAGCGGTCAAAGTTGACGTCTACTACGTCATTATACGGTGATGCCAAAGACGCCTTACCGAACTTGCTTTTGGATTCCGCATATCCAAGGCGAAAGCCGATTGTACAGCAAATGTTATAATGCACTCACTTATTTGGACATGCGGAGGGGGACCAAATGATAGCCGAAGGAGATATGTTAATGGTTGCGCCACAGTAGCTTCTATACCGACATTTCGAAAAATCACGATTTCAGATAGCGCAAAAAAAAATAACGGAGAAGTATGCATTTAACTATAAACAAGTTTTTTCTTTTTATAACAGTTAATGTTTGGCAGCTTCTTAGAACATATAAAGTACAACCGACGTAAGATTTTGATGCGGGAGAAGGCGTCATGGATGCGCTAGTAATTCTCCACTTTGTAGATATGGAATTTACGGCTATGGTTGTAACTTGCGCTCGTGACGAAAAATTAGTGGTTGACCGTATTGTCTTGGCAACCTTCCTGTCTTTGCTATTCTCAAATCGCGAATGTGGTAAACAATGGCGAATCGGACGCGGAGGCATCCACTCCTTCCCCTTCCCCCAAAAATGATCCTCATGAGCTGTAAAACTGCACAAATATCTCGCTACTTGCAAACAATTAGAATTCAAAATCTTTCAAAATTTTTAGCCTCGCAAAAAAAATCTGAACGTATGTGGTTGCTCTACTACTTTTTTGAGGAAAGATATAATCGCTCATCAAAATGTTTGTATGACGACAAAAAGACTCAATTTCGAAAATTGAGTGCGTGGCACATTCTCATTCAATAAAGTGATTCCTATCAGAGTTCGTACGTTCAAGAAAGCGACACCTGAACATTATCATGGATAAAATTCATAGGCGGGAAATCGCGTACAAACCTGCGAAAATCCCTTGATAAACTGCGATTGAGAAACACCCTTAGCAGTTGCTTTTGAATAAAGCATGAAATCAACTACTATCCTTTAGCAGTTGCTTTTGAATAAAGCAAGTGAACTATTATCTTATGACTTCAACGTGATGTGCTTATTTCGAGTAGTAAGTAGCGAGACGAAAAGAGTGGGATAAAGCGAGGTTTGAGCTGTCGAAAACATGTGAGTGTAGCGTTCCCAAATCTTGGTGTTTGCAAATCTCATCCTCTCAAAACACCACATGAAAATGTAAAGATTAAAACCTCTTAACATACACCCGAAAAGAATTAGCAATGTTTTCCTAGAGGCGCTGAATAATGATTCTACACTTATTATCAGTTCAACATTTCCAACTGGAATTCAAAAAACCAAAATGCTCTTGGGCTTTTCGGTATCCTTAGAACATATGTCTATATGTATAGAAGAGGTTTCAAGAGAGATTTCAGACGTAGGGGAATAGCCTGGGTTCTATTATCAGGAAGTCAAAAAAATCGAAAGGAATTCAAGTTATGAAGCAACTGTTTCTTAGCCGAGAGTTGTTTTGAGATGTGTCAGTTAAAATTCAACCTATGTTTTGAAGGCAACGCAGCGATTAGACAAGGGAAAGGAGTAGAGTCATTCGGAGGATTTTCAGAACCTTCCGTTCAAACAAGACAGTGGAAGTTAACATAGAAATTGCAACAGGTTCAGTCCAGAAATATGAGATTCAAAAAAGAAAGAACAACAGATTTCAACTCCTGAACTACATTAGAAAGCGAGCATTAGTGGCGCGAATACAAGTGGGGGAAAACAGCTGCAAAAGCTTGGGGATTTAAAAAGGTTTTTGCTGGAAGTCCAGCAGGAAAGAGAGCTTGCAGGAAGGTTACTCTTTGAAGTATATCTCAAAGCAGTCATTGGAAAATAGGAAATAGACGCGTACGGTATAAAGCAACTGACTTTATAGAAAGCTAAAGCATACGTTGCCTGAGTAGTCGTAGGTGCGCAAAAGGAATTTTGATGAATGCAAATAGCGATAGAGGGTTATATTGAAGGTATTTCAAAATTATATATTGGGCAGATTTATTCGAAGATATGATCGTACGTTGCAACGACATTGATTAGGGAGACTGACGTAAACATGACATGCAAGCGTGTTGGGAATCGTCTGCTTGATTGTGAGATGAGAATTGTTAGATATGGTTACACTAAATGCAAAAAAAGAACGACGGTCACTTTTATATGGGTGCACCAGCGGAAAGCAATTTGAAGCAGAAAATTGCAAACGCTTTGCAAACAACGCCTAAGACAGAGCCTTCATCACAGTGAGAATCTCGAATCGTAGGCAGAGTAAGACGAGAAAGGATCTGTGAACTCGAAAATACACATACAAGTGACACTAGCAACGAAAAGTTTGTCAGTGTATGCGTACGCGCAACCGAAAAAGCAAAAAAAAAACAAAACGCAACCAAAATCAAACAGATGCCGAGAGGCTTACAAGAGTTTAAATGAAGGAGATAAACACGAAGCTCAAAAGGAAACAGCCAGAGAAACATTGAGAGATGGCACATGCGAAAGGAAGCACAAAGCACAGAAAATGATGTCGTAAATGTATCAGACGGGCAGAAAATATTCGGGTTGTTCATTCAAGCTGACGTGATTGTTGAGTGTGCTGCTACACTGTAGTTTGAAAGACGACAAACTGATAAACGAAAAGAGGAGACACAAAATTCAGTCAAGGAACTCTTTCTCTGACACAACTGCGATTCTGCTCACCCATATAAAAGATGAGAAAGATGACATGCAAATCCGGTTGGAAGCAAAGCTCAGGTAGCAGTGGGAATCGATCAGAAACTGGATAATAGCAAAGCGCGCGACAAAACGCGAAGAGGGAAATTGTTCGCTCAAAGCAGAGCAAAAAAGAACAAAGAAGAGAACGAACGTAGAACGAACAAAGTTTAGAGAATAACGAATGTTTCAAGAGACTCCAAAACAGGGTGGTAGAAAATCCACAGTTAGAACGAGAGGAATGACAATGCGTCGCAAGATGGCCCTTGAATGCTATTTCATCTAGAGTTCACATAACAGGAAAGTGTGCTGTAAGAATGTATCGAGGAAGAGTGATGGTAAAAGACATACCGATACGGAGAGACATTGCACAGTGCCCTTGATGCAATGAGCAGGAATAAAATTTATTAAAAAGGCTCTCATAACCTTTCACCGGTCTTCGGACAGAGCAAGTCCAGTAATGAGCAAAACTCTCCACTAACTCTATCATTCAGTTCTGCTTCGTCGTATTTAATGCCTTGTTGGCTGTTCTTCTATATCTTTTTTCATGGAATTCTTACTCGCAAATGGACTTTATTTTTCCTTGCCTCCGAGAAGAGCGAGAAAAAATCTTGTTGACACGTTTGAATGATTCAACTAATCACGAGAGTAGGTCAACTACCAATAACATCCGTCGAGTGCTACAAAAAGCATCGCTGACTCACGTGTAAAACTATTTGATCCTATAAAACTCGTTTTGATCACATATGGTTATTCCCTCTGCATTCTGTGCAACTCTTCACTTCCAAAAAAGCAGTAAAGGTGAAATTTACAACAGAATTAGCGCACTACAATTACGCCAAAACACCAAAACATTGCAGAGTTTTATGTTTTTGAAATTTCTTTAAATTGTCTTACTTGTAGCGGGCATCGAAATTACGAGATAACTGAAGGAAAATTTAGGAATCGCAGAGTGGAGGACCACAAAAACAAAACCAAGTAAAGGTAGTCATTGCACAGAACAACCACACGAAATGCAGCGGATATGAGTGTTCTAGCAAACACCATGCAAAAATAATTGTATGCTATTTAGATATATTCGGTACTGGCCATACCATTCCAGAAGAATTCCCGCGATTCCTGTGATTCCTGCAAATCTTGTGACTCCTCGAATCTCGAGGGGCCGCAATACGAAGCGCTTTGCCGAGCCAGTACCATTGCTTTTTCGCAATATGCCTTGTTACGTGACCCACAGGAATCGCAGAATTGTAGGACTTACAAGAGTAGTATGGCCGGTCCCTTCAAAAACATGAAAAACTAAAGAGTCTTCTCGCGAAGCAAACTATTAGGCGTCAACGTGCGAGCTGTGTAAATGCGTACATCGTTAGCACAAGACGGCCTTGATTTTTGATTATCTCAAGATGTTGTTTTGCTCCTTTTGTGATTGTTTTTAGTGCATTAGTTGCCTCACCTGCGTCCTACAACCAATTTTGTCCTCTAGCAAGTCCACTTTTAAGTTCGTGACATCATCGTCTTCTAGATCTTGATGGTGTGCATGGGCCACAGTGTTTTGCATTCGGCTTTCTGCGATATAACTGCGTTCATACTAATCCCGAAGTCGGAGAACAGTTCCAGCAGGGCGCTCAGTTCGAGCACTGTGCTAATTGTTCTCGGACTTCCCAGTATGAACGCACCCTAAAGGGTGCCAAGCGTTGTGCTTTGTTGAATGCAACGGCTAAAGTAGACCCTTATCATATTTTGGGTGTGTTTAGTACTTCTCAAGAGCATATGCTGCTGCAGTCGTGGGCCACTTTTCAATGCTTTGAAGACAGCATTCGGGTCGATATGGTGATATCGAGAGAAAGTAGATCGAGGGGCTCATCTTGATGAACCTATGTCGCATTGCCCCATTTTGTTTCTGAAATGAGGAAACTACTTCAGAATCTCTGCCTATCCCTTTTCGCCCCGCCCTGCCCTTAAAGGCAACACCCACCTAGACTCTCCACTTCCTGTCGTTACTGGGCCTTCTCAGCTCCTGATTCCGAACATGAAGTTGAGAATCCACGAAAATCCCAGCATTCTCCTTTCCGGGAAAGCGGGCGATCTCTAGTTGGGCGCGCATTACTGCAGGGAGGCGTTGCCGCCTAGGGGTCCTCTGCTCTTCATTGGTCCGGAGCGATTTTCTCGCTCAAGCGACATTCTGACTTGGGCATTGTCTTGATAGGGGGCCTTAATATGCTGTCAAAAGCTCAAGATACCTAATTTGGGGTGGATGTTGTTTAATCGAGGTGTTCGGCATGAATTCGACCATTTCGAAAATTTGGAAAATAGCGCGTTTTCGACAAGTTCATGTGTTTCAAGATGCATCTTCGGAGTTAGCGGGAGGTACAGGTGAGCGAAAGTATATACTTTTGGACAAAGCATCCAGGATTTGCACATGGATTGAAAGCCTGGGGCTACGGCGTACCTGGAAAAACTACTACCCAACTCCACTGACATGTGGCAGGAGTTCGCTTTTCTGTGTCCTTGGTTTATAACATTGTACCATCTCTAGCTTTTAATCCACTTCGTCCACTCCGCTATTGGTACAATCAGTGATCGACCAAAGCGAAATGAAGTGGGTCAAGCATATGTGTGCCAGACAGGTATTATGTTTGAAGAAAGGAGTCAAATTTAACATACATGTACATGCACTCCATGGAGTTTTACGAGGAATTTATGAGAACGTTGACTAGGCACTGCCGCAGCGTAAATGATTTACCTATTTCAAGAAATTCATTTCCATATTTGTCTCCCATCCTCCTTATCCAGGACGGATAAATCACTTGCGACCACGTCGGTAGCGCATCAACCAATATCTTTCAATCAACACAGTGGTCGCTTCAGTGTCCAGTTCTGCTTCGATGCTGCCTTCGTGGTTTTTGAATGCTATCAAAGAATAGGAATGAATTAGCCGGTCATCCAACTGTCGTGTGGGCTGCTTCCCCGACCATTCAGTAAGTGGCCACCGCACCTCCTGGGATGGGCCAAGGTCCATGTTTTATAGTTTGTTTTGACTGGCCTCGAGACACACGGAGTTGATTTCTTTGAAAATTTGCTCGTATTTTGCAGTTAAATTCCAGCTTTTATAGAACGGTGCTGTTGCAATCGTCGCTTGTCATCATCGCCTTTACAATGTCTTAAGAGAACTGCATCGTACAACCTGAGATCTTTCCTTTTCAGATGACCGAAGAGGAGAAAAAGGTTCGACGCCGTGTTGTTATCAAAGATGACAAAGACGATGATGATCTCTTGATTCATGATGGAGACAGAATCGGCGATGCTGCTTGCAACACAACAGAGGGGGAAAATGATGATGAGTCCAAGTATGATCTCGCTTTTCTCAAATATCCTTTCATTTTCTTCTTTTGATTTATGGCAATATTTGTAAACAACTGCACTTCTGTGCTCAACTTTATATTAGGTCTAACATATGGAGTGAAGGTAAGCAAACGACAAACTTCCTTTTTTCACGCCAAACTCCTGAATAGTTTGCTCTTGTCTTCACTAAAATAATCGCTGAAGTTTTGGACCCATAGTTTTTACCTTGTTCAACTGTGATTTTAAAATATTCTTTTTACACCCAAGAAGAGATATGATAGCAGTAAGAGCAAAGAAGTGCAGCAATATTTTTGAGTTTCTCGAGCTGGTTTTCAGTACTTTCACAAAGGTTTTCACTTTGTCATGTCATATGCGACAAGGCGACAAACTTTAGTAAATTTTACAATTCGTAACTTTCAACAATCGATCACTATTCAACCGTTAGTTTGACAAATCAAATGAGCATTCACACATTTTGAATATCCACTTCCGAATTTTCCGGTTAAGCCTGTTACGCGTTCAAAACAAGATTTGGGATCGAGTTATCCCCAGAGACTTCGCGAATTGTGAAGCACAAGGCATCAGAATAATAATTTAAGAAAATGTGAAACGCTAGCTATAAATGCAAAAGAAAATCGTATTGCATGGCCTTTGTCCTCTCTATCTTTTCACAAATATAGAATGATAACTTTTGAAAATTTTCAAAGCTAGACATTGTAAATTCGACGATTATTCTGGTGCACAAGAACAACTATTTACAAACATACATGCTGAAGAGAGGAAGGAAAGTTGTCTTAAACGTGTTTTGGATAGTTTGCCTTTTTATTGTACATGTTTTCATAGCTGGCTGCAAACAAAGTTAAAAACTGATTTATTGTCGCTCACACCTATTTTGCAGGGTGCGCAAAGTAAGACGGCGTTCAAGAAAAGAGTTGGAACGAATACACTTTCAAATGGTGAATGATCGTGTAGTGGAAGATATTACCGTTGAAGTGCTGTACAAGCCTCATACGCTCACTATCTTGGCATGCTTATCTGCCTTTTTACTTTATATAGCTTTTGCAGGGTAGAGTTATCGTACGCAGATCCTATTATTATCATACATCCTTTTACCTTTCCAGACAAGATCGAGGCACAGACGAAAATGTTTATGATGGGTGTATGGGAACGCTTGCCTTGTTCATGGTTGTCAGTGCCTTAGCTTTTCCTAATGGTTGGTATAATCTTTGTTGCTTTATCTGCGTCAATCTTCATTATTTTCTTTCTTTTTTCCAAACATTTCTCATTTGAAGGTCCGTTTATACGACCGCATCCCATATTGTGGAGGATTATCTTTGGAATGTCTGTGGTGTACATGATGATTCTTCAATTCACGCTCTTCCAGACCTACGCCGATATAAAGAGAGTACTCACCTGGCTGGATCCAGAAGGATTAAGCCGCGAGAAACTTGAGGAAAAGGTTAGACTATTCTGATTACAAATCAAATTATGCATGCAAAGTCTAGGACTACGCTGTCAATTGCTCCGATGTATCACTCGCACGAATATGGAGTCATATGGATATATTTGCTGTGGGGCATTTTCTTGGATGGGCCATGAAAGCGTTACTCATACGACACGGCATACTTTGCTGGTACATCAGTATAGCCTGGGAGCTTACAGAGGTAATATCATTACAAGGGTATTGTCCATCATCGCACCATCGTCCAGGTAGTCTTCACAAAACTCTTGCCTAACTTCCAAGAATGCTGGTGGGACGCAATCATTTTGGATATACTTCTTTGCAATGGTTTGGGAATTTGGTTTGGTTTGAAGATATGCAGTTTTCTGCGAATGAGGCAGTTTCATTGGGAGAGCATCAAGTGAGTGTGACAAGTTGTCGTATTTCATTGTATTTCCATACCCCTATGATGTCAGGGATATAAAGTCACATCGTGGACGATTCAAGCGCGCTGTGATGCAGTTTTTACCTGAAAGTTGGAGTGAGCTGCAGTGGTTCATTCCGAACGCTTTCAAGCGCACTGTGGCTCTTTACTTATTTGTGCTAATTTGGCTGGTGAGTAGTTTCATATAACATTTCTTACTGATTTTCATACCACATCATGTCTATATTGAAGTATCTGTTGGCAGCTGGATAGCTTTTTCAGTTACTTACTTTTAGCTGACGGAACTGAACACCTTCTTCTTAAAACACGTGTTTGCTGTGGACACAAAACATCCTTTTGTGTTTTGGCGGATCATACTTATCGCACTTATCTCAGCACCATCCATAAGGTATACTTGTATATCCTTTAAGCATTAATTATGATTAATCAATCAACAGGCAGTTCTACACCTATGCAACGGATCCGCTTGTAAAAAGACTCGGCATGCAATGTTGGGTATATTGTGCTGTAACGGCTCTTGAAGCTGCGATTTGTATCAAATTTGGACGGAGCATGTTTCCTGATGTCCCCGTTTATCCTATACTTGGTTGGATCGGATTTTTGGTGAGCTCACTTACAAATCAGATTCGCAACAAATCCGCATATCATAAAATATTTATTTTCAGGTAGTCGGAACCTTCTTTAGCATATGGCTGTCTGTGTTATGGGCGCGATGGTCATCAGTATGTTTTGTCGCTTATTCTCATGATCACAAAAGCATCGCCTTATAGCGAGACTCTCTTTTCAATGCTTTTGGTGAATAAGGTTGATGCTGAAAATGCAATCGGTTTGCTTCTCCTTAGAACGCATGTGAAAACAGAAAAGAAATATCATTTTGGAGATTTACCATTTCATCACGCCAATGCGCTGACAAGCAGCTATTCTCGCAGCGCAGAATGTTTTCAATTAGGGTAATTATATTGCCTTGCTCTTGTCAATGTCAAATGTAGTCCGCAATTCTTTCACGGGGTGTGAAATGCTTTCTTTCGACCGGAACGCTCAAAGCCGTATTCGTGTTAACACATTCACGACAATACGACCCACCGGTGGGTCGTACGTGTTCTGCCATTTCGGACAATACGACCCACCGGTGGGTCGTATGCTTTCTGAAGTTTTTGATTTTGCTAGTTCACGATGGAACTTTTTAGACAAGCCGAGTTAAATTCTGCATACACCTCTCAGAGTATCTCCCAAAAGATTAACACTTCAGACCACAGGGCCCATCAGTGACCTAAAAATATTCCAAAAACTCAATTTTGCGAAATATGCTCCGGTCCGAAATGGCAGTCAGCGCAAAATCGGCCCTGTCGTGAATGTGTTAAGCATGACAGTGAAACCCAATATGGAGAGAAATTCTGAGTTCGACGATTTGGCCTGACGCTGTCTTTGACTGTATCTCTAAAGAATCTGTAAAAGCAATCAGGCTATATTAAAGCACTCCAAAACTTCTTTAGAACACAGTATAGTATTTTATATTCTGATCCCTGTGTAAAGTCCACTAACGGGCAAGCAGTATTAAACGAGCGCTTGCTTGCGTTACCGTTCTAAACCCGGCGCCCCATGCGCTTTGCAGCTAATAATACCGCGTTCGTTACCTGGGTTTTGCGCCTTATCAGACAATAGCCTATAGTCTTGGTGACAAACTTTCACATGTACCCTCAAGCTAATGTGTTTGTCTATACATGGAAGGATCAGAACCAAGAAAAGACGCTAGAGAGCATCTACCAAAGAGAAACTTATTGTCAAGGAAATCCTGAATGGGATGTTCAGTGTGCGCGGTCTGGTAAAGCACATTCTATGGCGCGAAAGTTCTTGCATAATTCGATAAATACTCATTGACTTTCCATTTAGTGAACCTGAATTCGTAGTATGTACTTGGAAAACAGAAGATTTGCTCTTCGGCAGTGTTTTGAGCGCTTTTCAAGAGAAGCTGAGTTTGATCTCACTTTGGAGCGTCGCTAGCTAGCCTTCAAATTTTTTTTAGATTCTTTACATAGCATTGATCCATACATCGTTGTACAGGAAAATGCGGGTAACAAGTGTTTTCCCATCCAAAATGACATTTTCCACGTAAATCTTGTTTTGTGGAGATCAAAGCTTGCTAAAGTAGCATATGGACGGACTAATATTAGGTTGGCACGAAAGTTCTTGCGTAATTCAAACAAAATTCAATAAACTTTCAAAGACTAAACCTAAATTCACAATCTTGTATGCTAAAAATATTAGAAGTCTCACGCTCCATGATGGAAGTTCAAGCACAACATTCCATGAGCTGGACATCAAGAACGAAGCTCTCGAATATGGGGCATCAAATTTTGCGATTTTGAGTTTGATGGCAGAAAATCGCAGAATGCCGCTAGCTAGCCGAAAAAAATCTGTAGAATTTACTTACATAACAAAAGTCCATATGTTACTTTGGAAGGCTTTGATCTTGCATGGTGAAGCAAAAACAAAAAATTTGTGAAATATGTCATTTTGCGGAAAAAATCCCCTTATCGCTCTAATTTCTCCACAGAAACACAGTTTGCAACCAGAAATTAGACATAGTGCTTATTTAGAGCCTTGCGACGTTTCCTCGATTGTAAAAAAGTGTTTTCGCTAGAAAAGTGCGGACATGAGGGGATTTTTTCCGCAAAATGACATAATTCACGAATTTTTTGTTTATGCTTCACCATGCAAGATCAAAGCCTTCCAAAGTAACATATGGACTTTTGTTGTGTAAGTAAATTCTACAGATTTTTTTTTCGACTAGCTAGCGGCACTCTGCGATTTTCTACCACCAAACTCAAAATCGCAAAATTTGATGCACCATATTCGCGAGCTTCGTTCCTGATGTCCAGCTCATTAAGTCTTATGCTTAAACGTCTATCATGAAGTGTAAGGCTTCTAATATTTTTAGCATACAAGATTGTGAATTTAGGTTTAGTCTTTGAAAAGTTATTGCATTTTGTTTGAATTACGCAAGAACTTTCGTGCCGACCTAATATTATGTAAGAAATTTTTGAAGATTTTTTAGGCCAGCTAGTGGCGCTCTAGTTTCTTTCAAGTCAAACTCAAAACCACGCCATATGAAGTGTCGTTTTGATAGCTCGTTCCATCAGGGATAGCCAGCAAAAAGCTCCGCTTAGTTCACAGCTACAATGCCCAAACCTTCTATTTTTTTTGATTACAGAACATACCTGAATTTAGTTTTAGGATTTGGGAAGTTATTGGATGTGTTTTGAAGCACGCAAGGACTTTCGCACAAACCTAATATTATGGCATTTAATGATTAGACTATAAGTTAACGCAGTCGCCAATATTTTGATTGCGTAAGTAGTTTGGACCAAAACTCCGCATTTTAGCAATCCCTACATATATAGAGAAAATCTGTATATCTGTGCACATTCCTCATAGTCATGAAGGATGGGCGGTGAAGCGCATTTTGATCTGTTGGTCATCAAGTCATGGTAAGGACGGTAGGAAGCGAACTCAAAACAAGTCTGAATCAAAAGAGGGATGAGTTTCGCTACAGGTCAAGTACGATAGATTGGCTCCAAACCGGGGTGGGACCTGGGATGCCAGATCGTGTAACTATAATGCCAATGATAATGCTCCCCGTCTGTTTTTCAGAGTGTGTTATAACCGATTGAGATCATTATTTTTCGTGACCAATATTTCAGGACACAAAAGAGCTAGACGTTGATGGGGAAAAACGTGTTTTCTACATGGATTCTTCTCACGAAAATCTTGGAGCGATTCAAGACGATGTACGACGTCGACGACGTGATCTCGGTTTTTCTGAGTCTGATTTTCAGTAAATTGTTCTCTCACTTCTAAAAGAAACTGAAATTTATATGCACATCAAGGAATCCACTTAGTTTCAATATCACTCTCTTATTACGAGAACACTTTCTGGATCGAAAACAAATTCCTATTGCTTTACCTCATTTACAGGGATGGTAACAGAGTTAACTGAACTTGATTTCAAAATTCTATTGATTGTGAGGCATAGTTTTGTAAGATATCGTCCAAAAGTTTTGCCGTTAGCGCTTTGTTATAAACACATACAAAATTACTTATGAGTTTCACAGTTAGCACCTAGAAGCGATGTAAACAGTTAGAACTTGTCCGGTGTGTGGTGCTATTCTAGTGTTATCATCTGGTAACTGTGATCTGATCTACTTTGTTGTAATAAGACTATACTTGTTTTTCTCTGGCATTATGTTTTGTTTGATGAATGAATGAAGTTTTTTTCTTTTAAAAACACATATACTTCTTTGAAAGCAACTTTGAAGAAGCTGTTAAGACTCTCACTCCTGATAGATACTTACTAGCTTGAGTAACATTTTTTTACGCGGACCTTGGGTTCCCGGTCCACTGCGCCACGCCATGAATTTTATCAGATGGGAAAGATGTTTTAACGCAAATGTCTAGTGTAAGTTTCGGGATTGCAAGGCGCTTTCTCGTACTCAGGTTCATTCTTTTTTGAGAAGGCCTGGTAGCCGCAGGGAGGAGGTAGATGCTATATTCACGCAAGTATAAGCCATACGCTGACATCGTTTTGACTCCACGTGATAGACGCTAAGCCCGATTTATTTCCAACAAGTAATACGCTTTATATGTATCAATCAATATATTTTTAAATGAATAAAAATGCGGACGGGGTGTAAATCACGGGGGGGGGGGGGGACTTTTCACACGATCAGGTCATCGCACATAGTCTTCGCACATACCTTACTCCTACTTCGCGCTTCTGCGGGGATGCTTTCCATACAAACGCTCCTTGACCTTTTATTGGTATGCCAAGATGCTAATATTACGACCAGTTATCGATTAGTATTGAATATTCGCGAGGCACATAAATAAGATCAATGTATCTGAATACTTTTTCTTTTTTCGTGCAGGTCATGTAAAAATTCGGATAGTCAGAGTGTGATATTCTTTGATTACGGACGTTTGCAAAAAAACGTGACATAAGAATTAGTGTGATTGTTTGTTTGCATGTATGCTTCGGGCAGAAGATTTAGAATCAGAGTTTTCTACCGGAGGCAAAGTAAGCCTGGATACGTGAGTAACACCGCTATTGTCTGTCATGTCTATTTGGCTTCTGAACAAAGGGTGGAGGGGTGATGTTCCCTTGATTGGCTTTGGCAGTAGATGCAGGGAAATTGATTTGTTGAAGAAAGAGTGGTAAGCCATGAAATATAAATAAGAACCCGGCAGAGCCGGGTATAATGTGTTATTACTATCTTGACTCCGTACTCTACCAGTATTTGTTATTTGCAACATGGTGTAAATACTTGCTCATTGAAAAAAAAAACAATGGCGTACCACCGACAGTGATATTGTTTCACCACATAACTAAAAAAAGAAAACAAAATTTATTTAAAAGTATATCTTGCTAACACCACGTGCATCAAAGCGCAGATTGCAAACTTCCGTTAATGGTATAGATAAACCTGATCTAATCTCTGTCGAACGTTTTCAAAAAGAGCTGGTAGCAATGTGTTTGGATAAGTAGTCTTGCTGTATGGTGCAAAATCGTTGAATATCGTTCGGTTCCTGCTCCATCCACCAACATTTATGTCGCGGTAATGTCTGTAAATTGTGCACGATATGTGACTAGTTCCTTACTTGCAAGTTTCGGACGGTTTTGGACGAGTGTTGTTAGGCTCAATTACTAGTTATGATGGAGTACAAAAGAAACTGAGGTTTAGGCTTACGCCGCACGCACTAACATCCCCGCTGAGATAGAAATGGCAGGTTAGAAGGAAGCTCCATACTCTGAAGCTGTGGCATTCTGGGTTTCATACCGTCTACCCACTTTCAAGTGCTTCTACTACCCTTTACTTCAAAAAGAAGGAACGGGGTGAGAAGTAATGCAAGCCGCATTTTCCAAAGATACGGTGCTTAGCACGTTTCTGATATAAAAAATGATGCATCAAGATTTTCGAACTTCAATTTTCGGCTTGTGAATCATCGATATCTCCAGCACTTTAATACATCTTTGTTCTTATTGGATACATACTTGTCACTGTTGGGTTAGGTGATTGGTACAACTCTGACGTGTTTTCATTAGTTTGAAGCAAGAAAAACGACTTTGAAAAAAAGACGGTCGGCCGCGGAGGGTCACCAAGGGATTACACAAAAATCTGGAAAATGCGCCTTGTATGACTTCTCGCTCATGTTCACTATATTTATAGGAAAGGGTAGTAGAAACACTTGCGGATGACAGACAGCGAGAAATCCGGATGTTAAAGCTTCAGAATATAAAATTTTCTTTCAGACTGCGATCACCTCCGCAGCGGGGATGTTTGCATGCGAACTCTAAAGGCACCTTCCACCCAAAACGGGGTTGATGAGATTTTAAGTTAACAATGGTGGGGCCCCCAACTGTATACTTATCCAACTCGCGCTGGCAAAAGTTGCTTTCGAAGCATAGTTGCGATAGGGGGAGTGATGGATCTTACCCCCTTTACTTTGAGGCCAATCCCGATGACCCCCTTCACCTGGGCTGAGATTGGTATTGTACTCTGAGAATATGATAAAAATCGTTATTAAGAGGTTTTGCAGGCTAAGTACCTCAAGCAACAAGTACACTCATAAATTTACAAAAGAAAAGGTATTTGTGTTTATTCGTATTATTTATTTATCCTCGTAGCGTTCATTTGGAGAGCAGAAAGTGAGGACAAAAAAGCAGTTGGTGTTTGGAGTACATAAAAATCCCTCATATCTCGCGGCACAGAAGACCTAGAAAAAAGTCGACGGTCTACGTCGATTCTCCATGATCTCAGCTTTCGAATGATATACAGCATGTTAGGGCATCTTTGCCTCCCGGCTCTAAAAATCATTTGCTCCGGTAACCCATAAAAGCCAATACATTGGTGGAGCTGGTGGAGCAAGCTAATAGTAAATATCTCCACCCCATTTCTGAAAACCGGTTAGTTTTTTCGCCCAGCAACCTATATACCATTCGAATGCTCAGGAAAAGGGGATTCGACCTAGACCGTCGACTTTTTCTAGCCCCCCTCTATAGCCTCGAGAGATACACCGCATTTTATCTGAAAACATGGTCATTTTCAACAGCAGATTTCTGCCAAATGAAGACCTAATCACTGCTGAATTATCTACCTGTGTTAAAGAGCAAGTCTTCTTTAACAAAAGTAGACCGTCGACTTTCTCGTAGCTTCATTTGGAGAGCAAAGTGAGGACACAAAATCAGTTGATTTAAGTCAATTTTTGAAGCACATAAAATCCCTCATATCTCGCGGCACAGAAGACCTAGAAAAACGTCGACGGTCTATGTCGATTCTCCATGATCTCAGCTTTCGATGGTTTACAGCATGTTAGGGCATCTTTGCTTCCCGGCTCTAAAAATCATTTGCTCTGGTGATCCATAAAAGCCAACACATTGTATAGGTCGTCCCGAAAGTTCTTGCGCGCGATTTTCAAAAATTCATAACTTTTGATTTTTCCAACCGATTTGGCCGCTTCTATTTTCGTATGAAATAGTAAGTCATGTTTTTTATAATGATGTCTTATCTGCTTACTAGTGGTCATCTGTTGCATAGATAAGAGCGATAGAAGAATATTGGTCAAAATTTGAATTTTTTGGGTAGGGTCATAAAAACTCGGAAACTTGCAGCAAAATCGGAGCAGTCGGGATTTAGGTTCTTTCACCAGCTCTTTCCAACAGTGCAAAGTTTGCGCTGATTGAGGGTCTCCATGAAAAGTTATGATTTTCGAGCAAGCAATACAAAAGGGCGAATCTGGTTTATTTTGGCATTTTTCAGGGAAATCATAATTTTCCATAGAAACGCTCAATCGGCGCAAACTTTGCACTGTTAGAGAGAGCTGATGAAAGAACCTACAATACTGATCATTACTAAGCACTGAGATGTCTTTATAAAGAGCATAACTTACCCTTTCACATAAAAGTGTTAGCAGTGAAATCGGTTGAAAAAATCAGAAATTATGAATTTTCGAAAATCGTGCGCAAAAACTTTCGGGACGACTTAATAAGAGCGAGGTGGAGCAATTTAATAGTAAAAATGTGCTATGGATTTTGGATTGACATCGTTATCAGCACTAACGGGAACGTGAGCTAACGCATCTATTTGAACGTGCTTATCGTTGTTGCGTGTTTGTGTTTTTTGGTAAAAAATGCGCTTTTGATTGACAGTTATGCCATCATTATTAGCACACACTCAAAAAACTATGGGAGATTGGTGAATTTCCACACCTTCACAGAAAAACCCGCCCATTTTTGGAATCTTACTCTGTAAACCTAGTGCTGAACAAGGTCACTTTCGTGAAAACGCTCTAGACCTCACCTTACCTAATTTGTAGAGAATGATTGGTTTCAATGAATCAAAAACAGGGCTCGGCACGAGCTGGCACCAGGGAAATTTCAAAACGAAGTCCCGTTTGATATTGAAAATTTGTACGAAGTCTCTTTTGACCTGTTTTGAAAACCCATCATCATTTTTATATTATGTAAAAAAACATAGTAGTGTTTTCATGCATTTCTGATTTCATGAAAGAACTTTTCACAGCTTTCTGAGCTTTTTAAGTGGTTGAATCACTTCTTGAGAAGCAGAAAAAGCCGATTTTTCGACGGTGGAGCGGACCGAGTGGTTTTCAAATTGCTATAAAACGCTGAAAAAAGAACATTATGAAACTGTTTCTTCTCCGTATGTAATCTTTTACAGTGTAGATACATTTTATGTAAAAAAGTATGAAAACTTATGTGAGCAAAGTGTCGGTGCCAGCTCAGCTGGCACCCAGCTGGCACGGTGCCAGCTAATTCAGAAAAAAGTTGGGCACAGCTTTCATTCACATAAGTTTTCATAAATTTTTGGCCCGTAGTTCCGGTCCACCAACGCGCATGCACACACCAAATTTGGTGTCATACTATTGCGTTTTGGCTGAAAACAAGCCTTTGTTTGTTGATGGACAGTTTGCCAATGGCATGCGGTGGCATGCCGGCGGCATGCCACCGGCAGTTCTCCGCCTCGGCCCCTGTAGAAACGATATCCCCTTTGCTTTCCGCGCTAAAAACGATATCCAGCTTGATCCGGTGCCAGCTATGCTGAGCCCTGATCAAAAACTTTAAGACATTCAGAAGAATGACATGTTATTAAAACATCCCTCAGTGTTTTGGAAAGGTTGGCAGTTTGAAGAGGAAACGGCAGGCAGAATACTTTACAAAATCGCAGATGACTCGCATGTGTTCCAGTTC